TATTTTTTTACAATTAAATGCAACAATTGATCATCTTATATGTGTTACTAAGCACAAATGAGAACGACCGAGTGTAAAAATTTAAATAGGTTAGAACTGAGAAGGAGGGTAGATTTCACTTTTTATTTTAATTTAAAAATTTAATTATATGCAGTAAACCGGTGTCTGCAACTATACAGTAAATAAGTTTAACATTGGTGCTAAATTTTAAAACCACTGGATTCTACTGAGAGCAAAGACTTGGGAAATGTTAAAAACTGCCTTGCGTGTAAACAGTTAGATACCCCGAGCCTGCTGTAAACAAGTTTCAGCAGTGAGTTATCGTTCATAACACCGACCCCTAGCGGCAGTTGAAAGGCCTAAGTGATGGCATCTTAATAGTGAAAAAATAGACTGAAACTCTTCTTGATGTATCTAAGTAACTTGATATTAATCACTTAGCCTACGAAATAAACCTGTATAAAATGAAAGCAGAGACAAACACAATCTAGCTCTTAACTCGCGGATTTCCGTCGTCAGCTTAATTTATACCCCTCTTCTTCCTCCGATTTTCATCTCCCTATTTGGATCACCTTCAAAATTCCAATGATTACTTTCAATTTAAGTTTTTATTTACCATTATTCTGTCCTCCAACACTCTTATGTTTAATAATGCATTAAAAAAATATTTTCTATCTTTTGCAAAATCTTTAAATTTTACTTGTTGTATTTAATTTATATCAACAACTGACCTCTGCTCTCTTAAATGTTATTGGTTGCTACTTCATCCTAACCAAAACATTGTTTAATTGCCTGACGTCACGGTGTCAGGATGTATAAGGATTGATAATTGCTTGATCCGAAACTACTAGATCATACCCAGAGAGCTAGATTTTGTGTAAGCTGATTTACATTGGAAATCTTTTACCTGCATTTTAAAAGAAACTTTTTTTTCAGGGAAACAATGATTTTACTGATGCAAAATAATGCAGTATTTACTTTGTTTACTCTGTTTGCATGAAACAGATTATTCCATGTGATTTACCGTTTCAACGTGTCCGTGTATCTTTTTTTCTGCATTTCTATACTACTGGATCAGTCCATTTATGTTCTACAAAAGGGGTGAATCGCTCTTTTCGCGCCAAATGTCACGAGTAAGCGATCTTCGCGCCTTTTCTTGGATTGTTCTATTGTATGAATGGGGGTGCTAACTTCCATGGAATTGAATAAAGTTTGTTATTGTAACCTCCATCTTCTTATGATTCAGAAATTCTATTTACAAATTATATCTTATTCCTTAAAACAACATATGAATCGCATGTATCAGAATATGGACATGCAAAACAAAAGAAATGATTTCTCTAATTTGTCTCCCCTCTGTTGATTTATTCCATATTTTAATGGACTAGTCCAATCACCACAAACGATCGACGCAGTTCAACCAGGTTGACGAAAGAAATAACCTGTGCGAAATCTTGGATTTCTTTTCCATAAAGGCCTACAGTGGCTGGAACGTTATTGTTGACAAAAAAATCGTGTAGAATCGTTCGTGTATCGTGAGTGATCGTTCGTGTAACGTGCAAGATCGTTCGTGTATCAGACTCAATCGTGTGCGTTTTTAATCGTGCGAGATCGTGCGTTTAGAATCGTGTAAATTTCGTTTTGTAAGTTTTTATCGGAATGTTATTTGTAAAATAAGCATTTCCCTTGTTTGTTTTTCTTAATTTATTAATTAAAATCCAAATAAATGAAAAAACGCAATTTACATAATAAAATGCAGAACGAACTAATTATCGCCCGTAAACAAGCAATATAGTAAGTCGTACAATATCAAGTTCTCGTCAAATAGCGCGATCAATATTGTGATAAACCGTACTTAGATCTTTAACGCCTTTTTGAAAAATTTTATTTTAATTATTATTTACTTCTTATTGTTGTCAAGATAATCTTGAAATCAATTCATTGAAAATAAATATATATATTTTTTTTTACAAAGAAATAAACATTTCTCAATGCTTACATAACTAGTTAGTCGACAAATATACATGAACACGGCATGATTTTCGGGAGTTTTGTTTATCTGTGTTTATCTCTTGAGCCTATTTGTGATTAATTAATTTTAAATTTCTGCAAGTAAAAAAGTTAAATAATTGGCAAGTTTATCATACACTGAATCATTGGAAACATAAGGATAAAATTTGTAATTATAATTGAAGTCATTCCATGCTGCCATTTTTGTTCAATCGTATCCCCCTTTCTGCATATCATGATATCCAATTCAATCAAATTATACGACCCACATACATGTACATCGTCTAATAGAACGAACAAAATCCGTTTTTTTTAATCAGAGAATTACTTTAGAAATAATTATTTTTAATCTAAAATATTAAGTCTTGCATATATTTAGTTACAGAAATATCATTTTCCGATTTTTTCTTCAAAGTCTATTAAATGATATTTATCAATTGATAATTCTTTGAAATCTTAAATAAGTATTAAGCCGTATTTCGTTTTGAAAATATTGATTCCTAAATATTTTGAACTATTTTGAGTGAAGAATCGTGCGTTTGCGTTAACAATCGTGTAAAGATCGTGTAATGTGTAGAATCGTGAACGTGAAAGTTCGTTCGTGTAACAGGTTTAATCGTGCGTTAATCGTGCGGAATCGTGCGTGTAACGTGATCGTTCGTGTAAGTTGTCAACAATAACGTTCCAGCCACTGTAAATGTTGGTTTTACCTATTTCGTTCTCAAAAAATTATAGTACCCACGTTTCAGAAAAAAAAGATAAATGAACACAAACTACTACTGTTTACTTCATTGGAGAAAATGCTTTCCTACAACATATGTATTTAAGGAATCACAGTCTAGTTAGGAGAGTATGCCAGGGCATCAACAATAGTGGGAAACATGGGTATGCTAAAATTATCCCATGTTTCCCACTATTGTTGATGTCCCTGGCATACTCTCCTAACTAGACAGTGATTCCTTATATTTTCATTTCATTGTGAAATGAAATGGTAGATTTAGATTTTAAAAATGTAGACATAGACTTAAATTACACAAGGACTTCCATTCCAATTTCACTAGTCCTCGCCCAGTGACGTCAAACACCTAGGCAGCCGCACGAGATTTACATGCACATTTTGCTTCCTAGCGTCAGACACAGAGACAGATGTGCACGAAATTTGCATGCATTTTAGGCCTCCTTAGCTCCTGACCTATCGACCTGCCTAATTTACATTCCGGCAGAATTATCAAGAAATTAACTCCGAAAACTTTCAAAGAGTTATCGCAGAGAAAAAAAATTAGAAATGGAAATATTTAGTTATATCCATTCTCTAAAATGTTCACAATGAATGATTTGACAACAGATTTCAGAATAGGTGTAGCTTTAAATTTAGATCCAGGGGTAGATCAATCTACTTGCAGAAAAGTCAATCGCATCATCTCGGGTCTTTTCGTCAGAGGTCGGAAAACAAACTCAAATGTATCGACATCATCGGATGTTAAAAATTTATACATTTCCTGTTCATAGTAAAAACGGAGTTAGAAGTCCCTTCTATAGTGTATTTTAGATAGTTACATTGAATAAAGTTAACTCCATATTCCACAGAAAATAGGTCTATATACATCATCCATACTTTTATTTCAAAGTTTGTGAAAAGGGATGGGGGGGTGTCATGGCGTATAAATTAACAATACATTTGTGGTCTCCTTCCCTAGATAAGGCCCGAGGAGTTGCGATTGGCAGAAAACCCACATACATTAAGCATTCTGTTAACAACTCTTCAGAATGCAGCAAAGGCATCGTTCTTTTACAAGTTAAATAATTAAATATTTTTACAAGGTTTTCAAATAAAAAGACATATTTCAAACACAAAAAAGTATTGCTCAAAAGGTTTATCACTTCTCTTACAGATATTGATTGATTACGTCAGGCAAGCTTTTTGAAAAGCTGTTACTTGTAAACAAGTAAATTCCAATAATTCATTTTCTTGGAACCGTTTAGGTTAAAAGGTCAAACCCTAGTGGTCAATTTCTCTATTTGTTTTTTATCTTTAGAGCTGGCGTTCGTTATATTTGTCATCCAAGAAATGCAAACCCATAAAATATGTTGCACTCTTACTGCAATTTTTGTTATGATACAGGGACTAGACAAACAGAATAATTTAATTTTAATATGTCTATTCGATATGTCCTATTTCAAAAGTGATGCTCATCAAGTCAGATTTTGACGAACCTTAAAATATCCGTAAACTCCTCCTCTCCCCCCCCCATGAACAGTGTTGCCATGGTTACGAAAATAGAAATTACTTATAGAAATACAATTTTAGCCTGATTATGATATAATGTGGCATGCAAATAGACTACACTGAGATACATAATTTTTGTTTTTTTTATGAATGATGTTGCCATGGTTATTAAAATTGAAAATTCTGTAAAACCCTACAGTTGTAGTCTTAATGCAATCTTGCCACAAAAAGAGACTTAATCAAGGGTCACTTTTCTATTTACTGCTTTTGTAAAGTTTAAACTCACATCTTCTAATTTTCTCTTTCTTTATTAAAAGTAGAAACCAGTAGAGCTGATTTAGTATAGTTTGTCATTTGTAATGTTTTATAAGTAAAACACAGCAGAAGACTTGTAATAAAACACAGCGGAAGACTTGTAATAAAACACAGCAGAAGAATTGTAATAAAACATAGCAGAGGACTTGTAATAAGATACGTATTACGCCTTTGTCTTCAAAAATACACCAACTTAAAAGGGTCTATCTTACACCGCCGGTATTAAGAAGGAAGGCAGGTCTGCACCGATATCTAGAATACGTACCATAGATATGTCAAGTATTTTACTTTGAGTAGAAAAGTTATCGGTTTTCTCCAGTTTGACATATTCAGGGACTCTATTATTTTAATATTTTACATACTAGGAAAAAATCTGCTAAAAGAGAAAAAAAATATTTAGACTGAAGAGCAATGAGACCCATGGGCCTATTGTTTCATTCCATTTCAGGCAATTTTTCCGACTGGAACAATTGTTGAAATCAAGTTGGTATCATGGCCGTACAGGAATGATTGGCAATTGAATATTAACATATACCCATCACCCTCGGATGTCGGCCTTTCAAGCGGACTTTGTGGAATTCTTGATGGCAATTATAAAAATGATTTTACCTGGAATAACCCAGAGAAAACGGTAGAAAACCCAGATCACTATCACCAGTGGCGCCGTCCTCACCCAGATGGATTTTCCAAATCTTGGAGGTTTGTATGCGTCTTCATCACACAGAGACACACGTACATGTACATCATAACATACATTCAAATGGACTTACAACTATCTAGCTATAAAACGTGCTTCATCCCCACACGCACGTTGCACGCCTCCTACACGTTTGCACGAACGACCACAGTTCACAGAGAAACGCTTCGCGAAACGCTTTGTACACATTTATCAAAAACTTTGTACACGATTCTCGCATGGCGTGGTCTCAATTGGATATTTTTAAACAGCATCTCTTGAGCATTTCATAAATTTAAACGGGAATATTTTAGATGTACATTAAATTGGAATGATATCGGAATCTCTCAACACTTTGAAATTTATACTTGCTACAATTTACATTACTATTAATATTACTACATGTAAATAGATCGAAAGAAATATTCAATGGCACACAGTTAAAATTTTAAGTTGAAATGCCTATATGATTAACAAATTGATACTCTTGCATTTGAAAAATTACAATAACACACAATTTGAAATTTTTATCTGTTTCATTGTCTTGCACCATTAATTAATGTAAATCAAATACATACAAATATCTGCGGCACAACTTTAAAATATACAGAAACATGTTTTACATGCATATGTTTACCTGGTTACGTGATTATCAGCTTTTAAATAATTTATTCCACACATATTTTTACAGTAAATAGCTCTCAAGCTATAGGAAACACATTGTATTTTTTATACATTATAAAAAGCCTAATCGTGTGCAAATTTCATACTTTCACACAAGTTTTATAAATGTATTATGCGACTTTTGTTCGCACAAGTTTGCCAACGTTAGGCTCATAGTTATCAAAAGCTTTGAAATGAATGACCGTTCTCAATTTACTATAGAAAATGCAAATGTCGGCTGACCCCTACTACATTGTATAGGCGTGGATTTTTGGTTATATGAATCGCATGGTTTAGATACCAATTAATTTTCTATGAAAAATTTTTTAATGTCATTGTTTATTTTTTCACATTTTAACTTTTACAAATTACTATTAATATTACTACATTTCGAAAGATAAATAAAATTAAGTTGAAATTCAAAGAAACACAAATTAAACATAATTTTGTCTAACTTTACTAATTAAAGTGGTAAAATATTAAGAAAATGTTTCCATGCTCCAATTGAATATTTTTCATAAATTTGTTTAATTTTCCACCGGAAATTAAATGATAGACGTGAGTTTCATTTACTACTTTAATTCATATTTTAACTTTTAAAGATCTTTTGAAAATAAAATTAATAAATTCAAAGAACCACAAATTAAAATAATGTCTAACTTTACTTTAAGTGGAGAAAATCCATCCAATTTATCATAAATGATTCATTTCCACCGGAAATTCGATGATAGACAAGTTTCATTTACACTTTCTTTAAATTTTGGCAGACTTTTGATACATGTACGATTCTAGATGATTTAATAGGGACAGGGGCGCTTAATAGAGATTATACGATAATATAAATAAAAACCCCTCTCTTTCTTATTTTGGTATGTAGAAGAAATATTTTTATTGTAGGGTTAAAAATGGCGATATAAATCTCTTTGACAACAGCGTTTATGGAAGTCTAAAGTCCATTACAACGGTCTTCGATCGTGTGTGTAGATGTAACAAGAACAACAAAGTTATAAACTGCAGTTACGGCAATTACAAGGATTGTAAATTCGCTGTTGGAAAAAGGCATTATTGTATAGTTAATCATCATATCCAATCCAGAAGAAAAAGGGATCTTCATCATCTGAAATCGATAAAGTTGAGTGAACCTCCTATGGACAGTGTTATCCCAAAGGTACGCTTAAATCTTTCCTGCATACGATCTTACCTATGTTGGAAAAGTCTTTGTCACAAGATTTTAAAAATGAAAAATAAGCATTTGCTTATCAATCAGTTAAAAGCACATACATGTATATGTTATTAAATGTAGTGCTTTCCTTAAAGACATGGAACACAAAATATTCACTATTCAAACAATGATATATCTTATTATTTATGTCTGGTTACCTATGATTTTTGATGTTTTTTCAACTTGCTGAACTGTTATGCAACATACACTTAGTGTGCACGTCAAAAAAATATGACATTATTATAGCGCGGTACATGTTTCACTAAAACGAAAATACTTTTCTCAAGTAATATTTTAAATAAGAAAATAACTATTTAGCAAGTATAAATTAAAAGGAAATTGGCACTAAATGAAATATTAAATTAACTTTTTTAAAGTGCGTGAAAATGCATGATTGCAGGGAAACGTTTTTTTTTTTTAAATACGTGACTGTGGGGAAAGGGGTAAATACGGTGTGGAAAGAAATTAGAAATATCCTGTTTTCTAGAACCATTGAGCAAGAATAGTTTATTAAAAAGGGTATTTCGTTAATGTCAATGCAAATTCTAAAGATATACAGACACCCGTTTATGTCACTGCAAGGTCAAAATAGGAGTTATTCCAAAAGATGATTAGCATAGAAATGTATATTATGTGTAAGGAACAGAATCATCAAACGTCTCATTAGTTGCATCAGATTAGGATCTTTTGATGATTTTTTTTGTTAATGATTTGAACAACTGCTCAATTATCTAAATGGAGATCCACAGTAGAATCTTTTAACGTAAAGCCCCACATTTCCAAAGCAACAACAATGGGTAAAAACTCACGTACAGAGATGTGATACTACATCAATCAGATGTAAATGGTGAGAAAACCATTTCTTTCCGAACGTACACCGAAAATCTAAATTGTTAGCATCTGTGAAAAGGTGTAGGGAAGATGATGCCAGATGAAAAAAATGCTTTTCCATTGAAATGTTCTTAAAACACAGCCCAAGCTTTTAGATCGGCCCTAGCTTCCAAATTAAGTTTTCGGTGGAGATAGGGTTTTTTGAGGCCAACAGTGAGATTGATAGGCCTTCTTTAGAATGTGTGCCCAGGAGGTACAACATTGCATGCAAAATTCAACATACCGATCAAAGATTGGAGCTCACGAAGTGTCGCAGACTTTTTGTTTTGAAATTTCTTAATTTCAACCAACTTTTTAAAATAGTTTATTATTAGAGAAAGAAAATTCATTTCCTCACCGTACCTAAATAAATGTTTGGCATAAATAAATATTTAGTATAATTAATACACCCCCCCCCCCCCCCCCCCGGTGTATTTTCTACCGAAATATAATTCTTAATGAGTATTTTCAGTATTTAACTAATACGTACTTAATGTGTATTGTACCGCAAGTAAATCAGTCTTAAAACCAACATCAAACATTTTAATATTTTAGAATACACTTGTGCCGACAGTTGTACAATGTATTTTTAGGTCATCTGAGTAAACTCAGGTGACCTATTGCTATCACTTTTCGTCCATCGTCGTTCGTCGTTCGTCGTGCGTTAACATTTGAACATTTTCAGCTTCTTCTCTGAAACCACTGAACCAATTTCAACCAAATTTGGCATATAGCATTTATGGGTAAAGGGGAATAAAAATTGTGAATTTCATGGTCCCTCCCCCCCCCTGGGGCCTGGGGGGTGGGGCAAAAACCACTAAAATTAGTGCAATCTTTAAAAATCTTCTAATTTACTTCTGGACATCAAGCAGTCAAACTGTTTGCATGATTGTAATCAGCAATGAGTCCTCTACCAAAATTCATGGCCCAGGGGTCATGGGTTCTAGTGCTAGGGCGGGGCCAAATACGTATATAGTGAAAATGCAGTATTTCTTTGAAAATCTTCTTCTCTGAACCTGGGTATTAAATAAACCTAATAAGTACATAGTTATGATGAGCAAGAGTGCCTCTACCAAAATTGTGAATTTTATGGCCCCAGGGTCAGGGGTTCTGGTGTAAGGGGGGGGGGGTCTGTAGATTATATAGTGAAAATACATGAATTCTTTGAAAATTTCTTCTCTGCTCCTGGGTATTAAAAAAACTAACTAAGTCCATAGTTATGATGAGCAAGAGTGCCTCTACCAAAATTGTGAATTTTATGGCCCCAAAATTGTGGGGCTCTATAATTATATAGTGAAATTACATTAATTCTTTGAAAATCTTCTCCACTGCTCCTGGGTATTAGATAAACTAACTAAGTGCATAGTTATGATGAGCAAGAGTGCCTCTACCAAAATTGTGAATTTTATGGCCCCAGGGTCCGGGGCTCTGGTGATAGGGTGGGGCTCTATAGATTATATAGTGAAATTACATGAATTCTTTGAAAATCTTTTTCTCTGCTCCTGGGTATTAAATAAATTAAATAAGTGCATAGTTATGATGAGCAAGAGTGCTTCTACCAAAATTGTGAATTTTATGGCCCCAGGGTCAGGGGTTCTGGTGTTAGGGCAGGGCTCTATAGATTATATAGTGAAAATACATGAATTCTTTGTAAATCTTCTTCTCTGCTCCTAGGAATAAAATAAACTAATTACAAAGTTATGATGAGCAAGAATTCCTCTTCCAAAATTGTGAATTTTATGGCCCTAGGGTCAGGGGTTCTAGTGATAGGGCGGGGCTCTATTGATTATATAGTGAAAATACACTGAATCTTTGAAAGTTTTCTTCTCTGCTCCTTGGTATTAAGCAGATGAACTACCTATATAGTTATGATGAGCAAGGGTACTAATCTTCCAGAATTGTGAATTTCAAGGCCCCAGGGTCAGGGGTACCATAAAGGAGGGGGGGGGGGGGCTGTACTTATATACTGAAACTGGATGAATTGTTCGAAATATGCTCCTTGGTATTAATCAAATATTTTTGAAAAGCAAGGGTGCCTTTTCAAAAATTGTGCAATGTGTGGATCTAGGCCTAAGGGTCAGGGGTTCATGTGTGATTGGGGCATTACTGATCATGCTGAATATTACTGATTACTTGAAATGCATTTTTTGTTCCCCTACCCTGCTTATGGGTATTCCGTAAACAAACTAAACAACTGCTAAGTGTATTGTTATGATGATCAATGGGGTCTCTTTCAAAATTGTGAATGCCATAGCATCTGGATTAAAACATGAATCAAATTCAATCACTGGAAAGTTGTTGCATAATGCTCAGGTGACCTATAAGGCCCATGGGCCTCATGTAAATCCCATTTTTTCAGCAGGAATGCAAATATCAGATCTTGTAATGATAGGGAAAAATATTAAAACTTCTGGGAAATACTAAGTGACTGCCTTCGGTAATTTTGTTCGGTGAAACGTGATTTCCACAACTCCACTGTGTCGAATGATATTGATTGACAGGACAAACACGTGACTTTGTGCACTTCTTGTGAACTTGATGACGGAAAATAAAAGCTAATTATTACTGTCAAATGGATTTGCTAGTCTAAACAAATTGACTACTTTTACTTCTTTGAATATCTAGGAAAAATAATAAGGATTTTTATTTACTACAAAAGATATCTGAGAATTGAGGGTCTCTCTCTCTCTCTTACATATCTCTGTTCACTAAAAAATATGACAGCACATTACTTATTTAGTTTTGAAAATTTAATCTTTTACAAATAATTTTTTAATGCCTCTTAATTTCCATCATCTTGCCGAGTATAGTCACGGCCGGGAAATGTCTACAAATACATGTAGAAGTTTGCTGAAATAATCATCATAGAAGAATACAAAAGACACATTACAAAGAAAATTTTGCATTAGAATTTTAAAAAACGACAGGTTTTATGCAATGCGTCAACAGGCAATTGTGAATTAAAAAAAAAAATCCCTTCTTTTACTCAGAGTCGCCTTGGCACGGAAATACATGTATGGTTGATTCAACCGAGTACAATGTAATTAATTCATTCTATAAGTAGTAGTTTTATCTTCTAAAGTCCACATTATTTCATAAAAGAAAAGAAAAGAATATTTACTATATTTATAAATAGATTAATTTTATATCTAAACTACACGCGTTCGGTACATGTAACAAATACACATGTTTTACGACAATTAAAATCCTGTTATAAAAGTATCGATTTAATTCTAAGGTGCATATACCGGGTATGTACAGAAAAAAATGTTTTTATTATTTATTTATTTATCTACTGTGTATTTATATTAAAGCACCTGAAATGAGAATTAAAGAATAATTTCAATGCAGGAAAATAACGGAGGCATTCCGAATAAATCCTTCATCTTGCGTTCACTGTTCGTTCACCGTTCACTTTGCGCTCCGTTCGCGTTCTGCGTTTACCGTTCACACATCTTTCACATAGTTGCGTTCAGCGTTCGCACATCGTTCCTTCACCGTTCGACCTGCGTTCGTTCACCGTTCGTTCACCGTTCAGGTGGGAAAGTAGAACGTTTCAGGGACTGTAAGTACCTGAGATATTCAAAAGTAGGTCACTGTGACCTACTTTTGTTGGACATTCAATGAAACGGCAAGATGCCTTAACTGACAAATTTGATGATTCCGAGCCAATAAGTACCAGATATAATTAAATAAAGCCATAAAATGTCAAAAGTAGGTCACAGTGACCTACTTTTTGGTCGAAGTTCTCCGAAAACCCAAGGTGCCAAAACTGACAAAGTTTAACGATTCTAAGCTAATACGTACCTGAGATATTCAAAAGTAGGTCACCGTGACCTACCTTTTAGTCGACATTCTCTGAAAACCCAAGATGCATCAACTGAAAAAGTTTGATGAGTCTTAGCCAATAAGTGCCTGAGATACTTGAATATAGCCATAAAATGTCAAAAGTAGGTCACTGTAACCTACTTTTTGGTCGACGATCTCCGAAAACCCAAGATGCAACTGACAAAGTTTAATGATTTTACTCACAAAATTTGATGCCACAAAATGTCAAAAGTAGGTCACCATGACCT